ATAAAGAATACTCTTTTCCAGCTGACAGTTAGGCTTTTAACCAGTGTTTAACAACACCTACAGCTCCATTTGTCCTTATGGCCCTTAGTGTAGTTAGTGCTTGCTATTATAGTTAACCTAAATAGCAGCCTTACTTGTGATAGTTGTATTCAGCCATTTATTATTCACACCTTATTAGAGTGGGAGTTGAAGACAGATTGCTGCAGTTTTCCATTCTTTATGGAGGTTAGGCAGACATATTTCACAGTACAACCAACACAGGCCCAGCATGGGAGACACCATCACCTTGCAATCTGCAGGTCCCCCTCACTTTGCCAGCTCCTTGTAACAGTTTGGGAAATTCAGCTGAACAGGTAACAGCACACGCCTACTGACAGGCTGCTCGTCGTCTTGGACAAGTGGTGGCTGTAAACGTTTGTTGCCCAAGAAAAGCAGGAGTAGGGAAAGCTCTGGGCAGAGCCTATCCTTGAATGTGCACTGAACTTCCACTGAACCTTGTTTGTGGGCATCATACTTTGGCCCCAAGGAGCTGTCTATATGAGGTTTTTAACAATAGAAATGTGTGTCTTCAGTAGAATGGTGATACTGCTGTGGCAGAGAGAGCTAATGAGCATTCCTTTGTTTCCTTATGTTTCAGTTTGTGTATAGACAAATAATGAGTACTTCCAATAACTGTGTTATTTTAATGGCATTATTTTTGTTCTAACTAGACAATCTAGCTTAAAAATCATTTAAGACTAATCATTTTAATGCATAAAATACAGAGTGTTAAACTCAAGAGTCAATATAACAGGTTCATAATGTCTATATATATGAATATAAGAACAATAGAATACCATTTTATTTTAGCTTCTGTTAACAGAGAAGCCCACTTCCAGAGTTCCTCAGCAGTGCACAGCTTCTGAGAGGAATTAAGGCACCTAAATATCTTTGAAGTTTTGGGGTTAAATGCCTCTGCTTAAGTGTGCAAATAATTGAACAGACTTTGCCTTAGTTTACTACTACTTGCTTTTATTTTGCTGTGCCTGAAAGGAGGCTGCTTACATGTACAAAGTGAAGTCTATGCCTTACCTAAATCAGGGTTGACATCTTGAATTTGTACTTCAAGTCAAAAGCTTTCAGTGCTTGATCTTGTCCCTAAGATATTTTTTTCTTTGATATCAGAAGGATTTTAGAATCAAATGCAACTATTCTTCACAGTTCTATATGAAAGGTTAATTTAAGTTAATTACTAGGATAAAAGCAGTGAGTAGGGGTGGCTGATTTTGTGTAGATGGAGAAGTCAGCAACTATTTCAATTTGCCCACAAAAACAGAATTCTTCCAGCTCGTCTACACAACCTGCTCCTATACAGACGGGCTTTGCTCTAAGTCGGAGGGTGCTCTGCATGGGAAGATAATGAAGGTGCTGGCCAGCTTGTGTGGAACTGAATAATTAAAGAATCTTATAATTTATGTTGCCATCAAATGCTGGAGGATACGGTCCTGCTGCAGGATAAAGAACCGACTCTCATGAATCTGAAGTGTTTCTCAGGAGATACTAAGAATGAATATTGAACACACACTTAGGTTTTCTTCGAGGCAAATCATGCAATAGTTTATATAATCCTATCTTATCTACGCTTTGAGCAGTTCCATCACTGCTTGTATTTCTAGCTAATATTTTACTAGAACAAATGTATTTATAAAATGAAAGATTATAATTGATCTCTACGTGCAGCATGCCTTCTTTTTTTGTCCTCTCTCTTCATTTTATTCCCTTTACATACTTCACTTCCCCTTTAGTTTAATGGGAGTTGTATACAGAATCCAGAGAAGCAAATGTACTGAAACCCTGCTAGCAATTAATTTATTTTTAGATAACTGCAAATACTGCAGTTGATAGTACTGGAGCCTTGTCCAGTAGTCATTTGAAAAACTTGCTCATCCATTTTTCACAGTGTGCCCATTCCATTGCTGAAGATCATGATCCAGAATACTCGCTCTTGACGAAAACAATAGAATTAAGCCACAGGGCTTTAGAAAATTGCTTTCATATTCAAGCAGTGCTACACACATACAGACACCTTGTTGATGATTTTCCTGCTCTGAAGAAAATATATTGCTGCTGCCACAAACCTGTCTGTCGGTACTTTGTCACTTACAAGTGATGATAAAATTGCAACAAAGAGACTTCGTTTTAATCTCATAGGTCATCGTTTGTACTCTGGACAGTCCCCCCTTTGTCCTCATTTAGGTTAGATAAGGTGGAAAAATCCTTTTAGTTGCCTCTAAACTTCTCTTAACAATACAAAATCCAAAAAGTCAGCCTAAAAGTACCCTCAGATTTTATCGTGACTATTTTTTTTTCATGTTTTTTTCAATTAGATTAAAACTTCGATATCCATTTTAAACAGATATTTGGTAGGCAGATGAACTACAGTCTTTTCTATTTATAGACTCACATCATACTGTAAATCCTGAGAGACATGTTTAATCCCTTTAATTTTGTGCAAACCCCAGAATCGTATGTTAAGCGTCACTGAAAATTCTGACCATTACTGTATCCACTTCTTACAGCTAAACATATTAGGTTTTAAATTCAGTTACCAAGTCCAATAATTCAAAGTTGCAAAAAACTTGTGACAGATAGAAAGATAGAGAAATTCTGAATAAATCTGCATTTCCATGAGTATTTTGAGGATAAACTTTCACATCACATGTACAAACAGCAATTTCCTTGGCTACTTTTTGGCGTTTTTTTCCCTATGCTTGCTGAGAGATTTTTCTCATCTTTGTCAGCTTCTTCTTCAGCTTTCTATTTCAATGAAATCACTGAGCTGCTTGGGACATAAAGTTTGCTCACATGGGATTCCCATGCAGCAAATGCAGTGCTTTGTCTCTTGACTGCATTTTCTTGAGTCTCCTGCAGTCGGAGGCATGGTAAGAGCAAAGAAGGAAAACAGCCTTGTGAAAAAAAGGCAGCAGGGGAAGCAGGCACTCTTGCAGCACACCTTTCTCTGACTGGGATTGCACACCAGCTGTCTGCATGTGTTTGACAGTGAGTGTTCAGGAACAAGAGAGGTAAGGAGGTGGAACCAAAGCTGCTGCTTTGCTTTTTACATAGGGATTGAACATTGTGTTTCAGAAGTTAAGGGGCAGTACTGATTTCTAGAATAGATTCTCAGCTTTCTCTCACTCTTTACCCTCTGGTTGTGCCAAGCAGGATCTGAGGTTGCCTCTCCTGCTCACACAAGGACAGAGAAGAGTGTGTCCAGACAAACACAGGTGCTTGCTCAACAGTCCCCTGCAGTTGCTAGTCACTGTGAGTAATCTGCTGCCAGCTGACATTAAAAAAAACAATACCCTCATGAAAATTTCACCTTGATTGAACTGCCATGTAGCTATGGGTGGGCCTGTCCAGAAATTCAAACCTTACAACTATGGGTGGAAGCCTCCAGCAGCTTCATGGATCTTCCTGCAAGAAAATCGAGTGTTAAGAAATAGTGGGCGCTTAGGTGCCTAAAGACCATCAAAGGCCAAACCCCTGTAAGTGCCCTATGGGAAACACACCTTGTCCCTCTAAATGGAAGGATTTTTGTACTCAAACCAAGAACTACCTGGGTTTGTCTTCCAGATGGAAACATCCTGGGCCTCCTGGCAGTCGCGCTGCCAAACAACAGTACTGCCTTCTCTTGTTGCCTAAACCCACTGCAAAAGCAGTAAAGAGCTGACAAATGCAGGATAGGCTTTTCCAACAAGTAAACTGTTCCCTTAGAGTTAGCACTTATACTTTCTCATCTGGATTTCAGTTTCGTACTAGGGCTTCCCAACTTTCCTTCTTCAGTTTCTGCATTCAGGACTTATGCTACAGTAATCTTCAAAACTAGTAACTTCAGAAATAAGTGATTTAGAAAGAAAAAAATGCCAATAATATCCTGAGTAACTGAAATGGTTAAGAATGCTAATAAGGAAATTATATATAAGGAAGCCTATGTTTCACAGTGAAAGCAAAACAAAACAAAACAAAAACAAAAACAACCTATACTGGATAATTATGTTTTGTAGCCAGAGATATTTGCATTTAAGCAATTACATGGAAAAAAAAATGCAGCGGGAATTGTGCTGAGGCTGAATATGGGTCTTCACCTTGTCCCACACTGAAACTATCTGTCCACAGGCACAACAGCTGAAACAGGAGAGTGGCAAAGAGTATAACAGAGATTGAGATTGTATTTATAATCATATTGTGTCAAAAATTCCCCCTGGGTTTATAAAACATTTGTTTTAAACATCTGTATATAATTAAGGGAATAGCAACAGTTTTACAGCTCTTTCATTTTGTCTATATATAATTGTTACTGCTTATTTTTATTTACTTCTGCAGCAATTGTAAATTACTTAATCACCGTTCTATATTTCGCTATTTTTTTTCCTGTTTAGTGAGGCAAAGCATCTCTATTACAGCCCTGAATCTCAGCACCGAGCACAGGGATGCCTGTGGTAACCGTGGCAACCTCCTCAGCACGGTGGGTTCGGGCTCCGGCTCCTCACCGCTCACCGAGCAGAGCTCACCCAACCCTGCACAGAGCAGTGCTGAGCTGAGCTGGAGAGCGGCACAGCTGCTCCTCGTGTCTCCAGGGCTTTTAGTGCTGAGGCTGGAAGGCTGATGTCTGGATGCAGATATGGGATCAGCTGGGTGTGAACACACAGTCCCTTTCTATTTTTTACCTTTTTTCCCCCCAAACATTTAGACTTAGCCCATGATGTCATCTCTGGAAGAGCATTAAGGCTCTTCCTCAAGATGGGTGATGGTGCAGAGCCAAACCAGGCTGTGTTGGTTTTGAGATTTTGTCATCATTATCCATACTGGAATGTGTAAGGCAAGCTAAGCTCTTTTAAATTACTTTTGAATTCATTAATTGAGTAAACCATTATGACTTTGCTACAAACACAAAGGTTAAAAGAAATAAATATTTTCCATCATATTCTATAGGGTTCTCAAACACTGTTAGCATAATCCATAACCTATTAACATAATCCATATTACATTTGTCAGTATTGTCTATTAAATTATGCAGCCTTGAGGACACGTGAAATCAGTACACATTGTATCTTACCCAGTTTCTTTTTGTAGGTCTTTCCCAAGACTCCTTCACATCTCATGTGTATATTTTGAAACCATTACTAGGAACGAAGTTTTGTACTTTAACAGCTACAAAACATGGGCTGCCCCTCTGTTGAGATTGCCTGGTGCTGTTTGAAGGGAGTGCTCTACATGGTTAAAAACATTTCAAACTGAACTACTGTAAATTTTTCAGTCATCAGTTCTCACTGCAGTCCTTTGGTTCAGGCAGTCTTGCAAATTGTACCATGTCTTGTTTCCAATATCTTTCCAGTTTATAGGTTGCTCCAGTTTTGCAGCTTTCCAGGGTGACAACTTCAGTACATTCACATTTCTGAGAGCCAGTGCAGTCACCTTTTTTCCTCCAGATCTAGTCTTTCCCAAGAGAATTCCTCCTAGAAGGCTCCAAAACTAACTGTGCATTCAGAAGAATAAAAGTAGTTTGGGGGAAATGTTAAACTTTTGAAAAAGACCACCTTATTTTTACTTATTTTTACTTTTACTTACTCAAAAGAGACTTAGTTTACCCTTCATTAAAATCCAAGGGGACCAAAGTTTGTTCTTACTTTACTGTTCAAAATTCAGTATGGGAAATATATTAATTTACTGATGTTAGTATAACTAAATAAAGAACTTATTTATGTATTGAGACCTTCTCTTTTTTTGAATTGATTTATGACATAAGGTCAATGAATGATCTCTTGTTTCTCTGGAGCTATAGAAAGGAAAGGCTGAAGTAATGGACTTAGGCTTGAAGTTTGCACTTCATAGAAGCCTAGAACAAGACTAGAATGGGAAAGAGACAAGAAAAATTAGAATTAAGTCTGTAATTTGAATTAGGGTTGAGACTGGGACTAGGTTTGAGTTGGACCACATGTAAGGTGAATTTGACAGAAAGTGGGTTTGTGTTTGGTTTTATGTGGAAGAGAATTTTTCTGTGGAGTGCCAGATATGTTGCTTATTACTCATGTTGACACTGCATGCAGATCTCACTTGAGTTCCTATCGTGTCCCTAGGCTGATAACAGCAATAGGGTTGGTCAGCAAGAGAGCTGAGATTCGGCACACATTAATTTTCTTGCTTACTGCCAAAAGATCTACATGCTTCCCATAAACACTTCCAACTATGAAAATGACTACTACATAATTCTAAACTAGAATAACATCACTGGTTAAACTGTGGATCTGGAAAAAAAAAAAAAAAAAAGTAGATAAAACTGAGTGCATCAGCCACTGCTGTCCATAATCCTTTTTGTCACTCGTTGTCCAATTGTAAACAACAATACTTAATAGCATTTTCACAGAATCACAAAGTTGTAGGGATTGGAAGGGACCTCCAGAGATCACCGAGTCCAACCCCCCTGCCAAAGCAGGTTCCCTACCCCACGTGGGGACACCTGCTCGCAGGTGCTCCCAGGCCAAAAATCAAAGGTAGCCCTTTTTTTTTTTTTCACGTTACATCAATTTTCCTGTTATTTCTGCAGATTCTAAATTTCACAAAGTTGTAATAATAGTAAAGTCTGTTTCTGCTTGTTGTGGCAGTAAACAAAGTCCAGCTCTAGAACTATTAGTAGCAAAGTATGAAAAAATTACTCTTACCTTACAGCCCAAGTCCTTGTCCTGAATCCATCTGCTTTGGAGACCACACAATAAAAGTAACAGTCTTTATTCTGCAAGTCTAATCACAGTCCATTATCCTGGCAAAGTCAGTGGGAACAAAAATATTAACAAATCATACGCCTCTTGGTATATTTACCACAATTGATCTGAACATCAAGACAAAAATTAAGCAAGTTTGTGTAATCTGATGTCAGCTCAATTCTAAACCTGAACTTAAAACAATCTGGGAGACTTTTCCTGATGCAGGCACAAAGCATAAGGTATTTTTTCCTCTGAGTACCATACTTCATCCTGGTTCTGTGATCTTGAAGGAACCCCTCCAGCTTCTCTGTCCATAATCATGGACCCATTCCCAGCAGTAATTAGAGCAATTCCACCTTTACCATTTCTTTTCTTATTTTGGTGTTTGAGTCAGTGCTTAGGCCCTACCTCTCAAATACTGGATAGTGAGAGATATTCATGACTTCTCTGCGAAATGCTTAAGTGTCTGTGACTAGTCTGAGCTCAGGATTTTTTGAAGGTTAGGGGACAATATTGTTACTTGAGGCCAGTAGCCCAGATGTGCTCTCCTCTGATGGGATTTTGCTTCACAGTACTCAAGAGCTCTGACTACAAGTCCTTATAAACAAGGCATGCTTAAGTGATCTCAGGTGATATTACACATCATGGCACAGTAAAATTGTTGGAGACAACTGTAGGATTACAGATACTATTATATTTTTTATATTTTGTTTGAATTACTGTATTATCAACTTCATAGTGATGGCACCTAATAACATTAGTATTGCAGCCTAATGCTTGTAATGTGGAGATCTATCTCTGCATATCGTTGAGGCGTCAATTAGAGAAAATGAGATTGCAAAAGAATGAGTGCACCTGTTAGCATTATGCTCTCCAGCATGTTAGTGATCTGACCAAAACAACACAGTGATCAGGAAACTAAACGCACCAAAAGCCAGAACAGACAATCACTTACTAGAGTGTGGCTTCAATACAACAATTACATCACTCCTTCAGGAATCTTTGAGCTTTACTATTTTGCATTTCCATGTGTTTCTTAGCCAGGCTTTGCAGAACAGGCCCTATTCCAGAAGAATGCTTCATTCAGCATTCTTCTGAAATTCAGTAGTTCATTCCAGAACTACCTTAAGCCTGGTTGAGATGTGCCAATATGCTTCAGTTTTCCTACTGTTTCTCTTCACATGAATATTCAGGTTTTCAGAGAATCTTCAACTCACCCTATTTCAGTATGAGATTAGAAAAGTTCATCTAAACCTTAGTAGTCCTATATTACCTCTTCCTACAATATTCATATGGTCAGATGACAATCATTCTTCAATCATTTGAGTATCAGCACACTCCACTACAAGAGAGAAACTCTATCTTGTACCCTATTACTGAAATTTAGGTAGGTTTGTTTACTTGTTTTTGTCCTTTTGTTGGTCTCTTGAAAACTTGCTGGCAAGACTTGGTAACAAGATTATCAATCAAGGCATAATACACCACCTATATCTTAGCAATTTCTAGAAACACAAATGAGGGGTAATCTGTTATACCAACACATCACAGGGTCTTTCAGAACAACAGGGAAAAACAGTCTGTTCCAGATGCTTCCATTCTCTCATTGTAAAAACCTATGATACTGTAAGTTATGGAAAAAATGGGTGCACTCTCAGATCATGTGCGTATAAATGCGTAGGAGCTCGTCATGAGGTGATACTTCTGGCACACAAACTGTGATATACAGTCATTGCTTTGAAATGTTAGAGAATAAGTTAGAAGCAAAAAATATAAATATCCATTGTCTTGGGATGCCAGAAGGCATGAAAAATCACCACCCAATAAATCTTGTTGGGTTAAAAAATGAGTTCATGGCATCTCTCAGACTGAATACAGGATTACTTGATTTATGGGAGTTATGAAGTTACAAGGTGCCACTTGAGAAGCCCAAGGCAGGGAGCTCTGCAGGTGGAAGGATAAATAGTGATTATATTTGATTTTCAATACTGAGACAGGAAGGAAGAAAAAGAGTTCCATCAAACTTCCATCACTCTTTGAGATCCTCTGCCAAAAATCCCTTTCTAGTAGATACAGTGGCATCAGGGCAGTACCACTCCTTTGCTGAAAAAGCATAACAGCCAAAAATTACTTGCTTAATGGAGATGCAGATTTTCATGCACATAAATCAGAAGATTTTTCTTCTGGAAGATCGTGATATTTAGACTCTGATGTAAGAAGACAATTCTTCAAAACCAAAATCAAGTGAGAAAGGGAAGGATTTGTGCTTTGATTTCAAATGTGTGCTATTGTGATTGACAAAGGACTCTGAGATTTGCCCTAATAAGCAGCCAAAACCTGCTGAAATTGAAAACAGTTTTGGTACCCAGTTAATGGGATGGCAGTGATCAGTGCAGGGAACTTGATTATCAAAACTATTGTGCAAAGGAATATTCACTTTTCCTACTTCCTGTTTGTTTAAAAGGTTCATTTCCTTAATTTCTTTAAGATGTCATTAACATAAAGTTCTTTAAGCAAACATGCTCTAGGTATAGGTAGGAATGTATAGGGAGAGCAGCAGAGATCCCTGGAGGTCTTGTCTTCTGTGTTTATAAGGCGAGCACATCCCAATTCCATTGAATCTAACTCTTTACAAAGCAGGCATGCCTACTGAATTAAACTCGGTAGGAAAAAAAAGAAAAAAGGATTAAGATTTACTAAAAGACAAACCACAAAAACAGTCTTCTGCTTGATCTTGGATGCATAAAGAAAGAACCTTGGTTTTAACAGATTCTGAGTGCTTGAAGCTCTCCCAGACTTCAGTGGGAATGCTAGAAACTAAACACAAAGAGGAAACAACCAGTATTAAATACCTATCTTAAGGTACCAGAACTTGTTCTCCTTTATCCATCTTCCCACCTCCCACAGCCAAAACTGCTTCAGTGTTTCATTGAAAATCTGATATAGTGGGTAACAACCCAACCCATGGTAGGGAGTTGGAACAGGATGATCTTTCGGGTTCCATCCAACCCAGGCCATTCTGTGATTCTATGAATCCATGAAAAAGTGGGTCATTTAAGCAAAGCTAATGGTAAATACCTATGCTTAATATTCTCTCACCAATAATATGTTTTGATTTCAAGTGCCTTTGAAATTCCAGTTCTCTTTTGAACATAAATTCAGATAGTACAATTTTCTTCCCCTGCGCGCCTTTGAATCCTTTCATCTCTCTCTATGAATAGGCTGAGACTGGTGAGAGATAAAACCGAGTAAAAACTGAGAGAAGCCATAGGCTAGATGTAGAAAGGCGCTTAAATTTACTCTAAAATCTCAAGCTCAATCCATGTCAGAAAATAACCTGGTTACAGCATTCAGTTTGAAAGGTAACTTTCTTTATCCCCTATTCAAAGTATGCAGAAAAGATCACAATTAATACATGAGCTCAATCAATAAAAATCTGGACAATGCATATAAAATTCTTCTCCTTGTTGAAGAGTTCTATGGGCCCCGTATGATTTTGTCAGAACTCCCATTCTTTCAGGTTGCATTAAAAGATGCATTAAACAATTAAAATTCTTTCATTTTATTATCACATACAATTTTATTCCAATTTTTTTTTTCTTATTCTGGCACTGGTATTCATCTTAGTACATTTAGTTAGTTAGCAGATATATATAAATATATATTTTTAAACAAGCCTCTCAATTGGAATTAAATTTTCCTACTAAGCAGAATTAAATGTTACTTCAAAATGAATTCATTGGGTTCGGTTCTGGGGATTCAAAAATGCACTGCAGGAACCAGCCCTTGGTCAAAATGGGGCTTGATGTAAAACAAAAAAACCAAACTATTATTCCTTCAATGTTATGATCTAATTAATACTAAACTTCATTAAGAAATGTTTGGTTTTTTTCTTTATAATAGATGAGCAACTTTGAAACGTGCTGATGATCCAGAACTAGTTAAGAAGTCTACTTGTGCATCTCATAAATAATTCTGGCAGGTAAGAGCCAAGGTGCTGCTCCTTCTGTGGACACTTGTATAATTGTATAGTGGAATTCCCCGGGAACAACATGATATTACTGAAGATTTGTCTTGAAAGATTTATCTTACTCTGTTAAAACAAGTCATTAAATTTGTATTTTTCAGCATCATAGGTCTTCATTGAGTCAAATAAACCATATTTTGTTTACCGCCCTGGAAAGATATAAATGCTAAATACTCTTTAACTTTATTTTATGAGACTGAATATTATATTCCTCTTTTCAGTGACCTTTTATTGCCTTGCGAATAAAAAAATAATCTAACAGACAGAAATAACAGCCATGGAAAGGTGGGATTTATGAGCATGCCAACTCCACTAAACCAAAGGATAAACATAATAGCCGCAGAATAAAAATAGTGAATTATCTAGTGCTTTATGCTGAAAACTTTAAAATAACTTTTTTTTTTTCCCCCCACAAAATCAGAGCTTTACTCATGTCATCATCTCAGAAGTAAAAGAGTACTTTCTTCCTTTCTTCAGTATCCTGATATGTCTAAGAAATAATTAGATATATATTTTTTTGTATGAAAAAAGAATCCGAAAGAAATGTCCATCTGGACCACAGTACAACACTGAATACAACATCAAAGATTTCTATACTCTGAGCACAGCAGGCTTTTATATTATCATAATAATGGCAAGTATTTGTTGCAAATGATTGCATGAAGTTTACAACCCAGCAAAATAAACCAAGTTTTCATGCTAGAATCTATTCGCTTTAAAGCATTTCAGATTTTCAAATTTAGTCTGCTTTAAGAAGTAGTATTGTAAAATGGAAACTTAGTTTTCCTGAGATCAACTCTCATGGTTTTGTCTTACACTGCTCAGAGATACTGTTTAGCTGCTCTCATGATAAAATTTACTGAAATCCTGATCAAATAGTTCTTCTACGCATTCTTCTGTTCTTTCAGGTGAAGAAACAGTTATATTCTCAAAATATGTGATTAGGCCTCTTTGTTAAATCTACTCTGCATTTTAAGACATTTCACATTGACAGTTAAATCTAATTTTTCTTTAATTCAAAAATTCTTGCTGAGGTCATGCACGTACAGATCACACTCATTGGTATATAGCTGGTTGCGTGATTTCAACCCTTCTGCCTTTTGTTAAAGGCAAGAAACTAGTAAGTATTAGTTTTACAATTTTTGTTCACTCGTATAGCACTGCACCTGCATTAACAGACCAGCACAAGTGATTGACATTTATTCCATGTATATTTTCTTGGGAATTTCCATGATAGGAACCAACTTGTTTTCCTAGCTCAGTCACATTTAGAGCTTCCTTTTTCTTTCCAAATGGCACTAATTAGTTGCTAGTTTTCTACTACTCACTCCAACTAGCCCATGTGACTCTTTGGAGAGGGAGAAGAGACAGAGAGCAAAAGAATGGGAGACAGCAAGGTATTCCCTTGCCAGCAAACCTCCCCTCTGAGGATCTGTCAGGTTTAGATGGGATGTTAAGAGAAGAACAACAAACAGAGAAGAAAAACCTACATGAATCTGAGGAAGAGATATATTTTCCAGGAAAAAAAAAAAAAGCAAGAAAAAGTAAGGAATGGTCTGTCTATGCTAGACAGGGCAAGGAGCAATGGTCAAGTCCTCTGTCAGACAGGGCTTTGGGCTGACCTCCTCTTTAAGAATGAGATATTTGCCTCTTCCCAGGCTTGACACAGCTGAAGGGGAAATACACAGTTGTATGGTATGAAATAGTTGCCTCTGACCAGTTTTCAGACAACCCAGAAAGGTATTAGTCACAATTTGATAATAAAGAAGAAATAGCTCACCCCACTCCAGAGATAAGGGCTTTTCTGGAAAACTCCAAGAAGGAAACCCAAACGTTCCCCAAAGAGATATTTCTCTGTTGGCTACCAGCCCCTAAATGAGGTTAGGAAAGGGTGGACCCCGGGTTTGCCCCTTCCAGTCACGCAGGTGAATTGCTTCCACCTGTGCTCCCAAGGCTCACCACCCCTCTTCACCAGGTGCTCAGCCACTGATTTAGGCCATGACCTAACAGTTCCCATACAATGGTGAAGAGCACTTTCACCTTTCTCACCCTGGACAAGCTGCACTCTCTTATCAATCTCTTGAGAAGAAACTGATAAAATTTCACAGTTGCACATATTTCCTAAGCATACATGCTCTTCTGTAAAAAAGAGCGTAACTCAGTTATCTCTTGCCTAAAGACAGTTCTCAGCCATCTCCGGATGAGGAGATAAGACTGAGTCACCGTCATTGTCTGGCGCTTTCAAGGGACTTTGTGGTGACTCCCATTGTCATGATTATTATCTCTTTGGTGGAAGATTGAAGTGAATGAGCAACACTGCATATTACCTTTTTCAAAAGTGATACGTGCAATTCTAAGCAGAAATACCCAGAATTTGCCAGATTTTCAATTGCACAAAATAACACAGAGTAACCCTGAAGTGAATTATGATGTCTCCTCATTCATAGGATGGAGTGAGAATTCTACTGTCCTAAGATATCATAGTTTTTTAAGTGAAATTACTAACAAAAATATTTGAGAAGAAAGTATCCAATTTATACCTATAATAAATTTTTTTTTGCAGCAGTAGCAGCTGTGTCTGTTTCATGTAGATGACAGGCTGACAAATGGAAAGATTATTTCTGTTTCTTCTTTCATTTGAGAGTCATAAATCTGAAAAAGCAGAATAGATTTTTTTCTTGCATCTTGTAAGATTTTATGGGAAGATCCAAGATGGCAGAAAGGGCACAATTCCAGAATATAAATAAGGTCTGTACTCGTACATCCTGCAGTCACTCAGCATAATTTGATGGTATCTATGTCAAATCAATACACAATGCTTTGTTGAACTAGTGGAGTAAGAGGATATGTCTGATAAAATAAACAGTCTGTTGTCCATGCCATTGACATGAATGCTTGTTTAATAAGATTGTTTTGATTCAAAGTCAGTTTTCATATTTATACTACTGCAAACCAAGCAAAAGCAGTTGTGTCAGCCATCCGTATACCCTCATATTTGGAGGTGTACAAAGCTCTATTCAGCTTTGCAGCGAGGTTATGTGTGGGCATAGTGCTAACATAGTTGAGTACTATGATAATTTATATTCAACCTGCATTGACAGACAAAGCCTCCTCAGTGTTGAGACAAAGACCAAACAAACTGCATATTGAGTTGCTGGTCAACACAATTGCTCTTCACTGTTAGGCATTCCATTCTGTACTACTCTGGAACCAGCCAATCGGAGAACAGAAATTGCACCACGGACCTACAGCTCCACAGGTCTTTTTTTCTTGTTTTTTAAATGCGGAAGCTCTGATAAAAAGTCCTCATCAGGCAAAGAGTAGTTAAATTTTAGAAAAATGTTTCTCATGCATATCTGTGGAAATACAAAGGCAATGGACTAAATTTTATTTGCAATGGTTATCAGCTAAAGATGGTGAAAAAGACACCCTGGACCACACTGCAAAGCATCTTTGGTGGACAGTGGGGTCAGCAGAAACTGATCTCTCAGACCACTGACACAATTAGGTTGTAAATTCTTTATTAAGCCTTAAATGGCATAACTCATGTGCAGTTTTATTTAGATGTCCTGATGACTGCTTATGTCTTTTTAAACAGTAAACCTTTGAATTTTATTTTATTATTAATTTTAATTTTAAAATTAATCAATTTCTTCTTCTTTTATTCCTATACATGTATACAAACACAAGTCTTTTTTTCAGTCAAAATATCAAGTTTATAATAATCAGAGGTCACTTTAATGTCATCATTTAATGTAGCAAAGGTCATATTATAATAAGGATTTATAGTAATCTAGTTACCTCGAGAAAGTGATTTTATTCATAGTCTGTTCAGTCAGGTTCTGCTCTTTAACTGTGTGATGCCTTCTCCATTGCTCTAAGCCTTTCTTATCTCTTTTTGTAAGGGGTACTGGTTGTTGCTTAAGCATGAGTGGTTCAAGACTAATGAGTTTTGAGTTGAACGTACAAGGCCTGTTTTGGGATAGCGCCCTGGTCTTCGCTAGTACATGAAAGAACAGCCTGAAGTGGAGAGGGCAAGACTGTGCCAGTGAGCTGGTGTCTTACAACATGGTGAACAGGAGGCACAGAGCTCCTCATGTGCCTTCCCTCTGCCTCCCACTTTCTGTGCTCAGCATCCATCTCCAGATGGAGTGCAATATGGAAGAAGTAGAGAGGTCACTCCCTGCCTCTTCTAGAATGAGGCCGCCTTCAGAGTATGATTCAGGAAATGATCCTTTTTCACGCATTCCACCCTCTGGCAAGCATCTTACCACAAAAGATGCCAGCAGCATTTCTACCTGCAGGAAGAAGGAGATAAAATTGTAAATAACATTTAAGAGTTAACTATTTTTGGCTGTGTTGCATAGGATGAAAGTCCCATTTTCTCCTTCAGAAATTCATTTTGTATGATCTGACTGAGGCATGTCAGGGAAGTAACACAAGACATTTCTGCAATTACAGGTGCCACAGACCAGAGATCAGCAGCATAAGTGCAATTGATGAAAAATGTGAAATAACAAAAGGCAGAGTTACTGCAGCAGTTGTGATGTCAGGACTCCTCAGGGTGATGCAGTTCCTGCAGCATCAAGCAAACCTGTGCTGCAATTCAGACATGTCCCATGGCACAAGCAACACCACAAGTCATCACTGTGTGAAGCCAAGCTGTGGCACTGTCCTCTGAACAAGGCAGCAGACTCGGTGCTACCCTGACCTACAAGAGAAACAGTTCTTTTCTGCTCCACTGACGAATACGCTGAGAGATGAAAGCTATCTGGATATATAAAAATATATATTAAAAAACTGGATATTAAAAACTATCTGGAAAAGAGGATCCTAGTACAGTTTGTAAATACCCCCAAAATTGTGAAAAGAAGCAACAAGCAAATTTGTTGACATTCAACCAAACATATTTAATTCAGGCCCATATGTCAGGGACAAAGTCTGTTACATCAAAAAACTATCAATAAAAAAACAACACTGTAGAGAAAGTCTTGGGTTTTGGAGCAGATGATCTGCTGCTCAGTGCTGTGGCAAGAAAAGCTGATGTAGATAAACAGGATCTAAGCAAGAAGCTTATACTGCTGAATATTTTTTCACTATGTCTCATGATAAGAAACAGAGGACATGAAAGGAAAACAGAATGTGGCAGATTCAAAACAAAAGGCTTTTTTTTTTTTTTTTTTAAACTCACTGGCACTGAATATTATGGATACTAAAACTTATGCTAATGAGACAAATTCTTGTGACAACTTTCTGTGGAGCACTCTTGAGCACAGGGATGTCTGAATTTGTCCATAGAATTGAAGGCCTATAGAGGAGTCCAGAAACTATCATTCAATTCTTTCCACATTTATACTTTTCCCAAATCATTTCACTACACACCACTGTCAAAGACAAATCATTAATCTAGATAGACCTTGAGTCTGACCTAGTACAGCTAGTCACATACTGTTGTTCTTACTACTGCTATATTTACCATCCTGATATATGATCATCTCTCTAATATTGTGTCCAATTCTGACATTTACAGTAGGAAAATGAAAAATTGAAGTCTGCAAAAATTGTTTACAGTATTAGGAAACAGGTCAAATACTAACAGATCCTGTCCTATCTCCCTTAACAAGGGCAGGGAAAGCTAAGGGATAGTTTGCTCACAGTCCAAAAGCATCCAACTGGGGAAGGCCAAACTCTCCAGCAGAACAGAGGCCTGTATGATGATAGGATTCATCTAGATAAATATAGATGTCTGTATCTCAGCTGCTCCATCTAGAAGCTATGCATGTCAATACAGATCTAAGCAATATTCTCAGCGGATGGTAAAGCACAATTCATCTAAGTCTAGAGTAGATGTCTAAAGCAGGTTAGATGAATCACTCCCTTAACGTTTGTTTGCTCCACTGCCTGTAAAAGGTACCTGTTGTGATTCACACAGTTGTAGACCTCTATTGGAGGTGCCTGAAGTTGGATGAATCACTCATAACATCTATGATGTGATTAGTAGAGAATAGTAGAGTAATTAGAAGTAAATTACTTCTGAGTGTTATTAGTGACAGGAACACATTACGAAGGACCAAGATGACTTTTCTTTCAACTGCTTACTATAAAGTAAGGATAGGCTAAATTTCCTAGATGTGTCCTAGCTGAAACACAGCTGTTGGCCTTGCACCAGAGGACTCCTCCGGTCCATGTTGCAAAGAAGGTCAGAATCTTGAAACTGATTCCTCTTGCCCTTGAAAATCTGTGCCTTCAAACACTGTTTATGAACAGTGGCATGTTTTCTATGCCTTGTTCAGCGGTTCTTGATCAATACAGATGTGCCATTTACCTGCAGGGCTTTTCCCACAGTTTTTTGCTGCTGCATTTGTTTCAAAGGATTTAATGTTACAAATCATCTCATGAATCTCAGATATGCCGAAATGTCCCATCAATACCAAGAGACAGATGTAGCAGCGCCTCAGAATGTGGTAGCCTTCCCCCTTAGCAATCTGCTCCCTGGTGTGCAGTCAAAAGTGAAGCTGTAGTACTGCACAGCCATTTCTTTAAACATGATGGCAACATCCAACGCTGTGGGGCCAAATTTATCTTTGCATCACTTATTTCTCAGTGAAAATGCCTGATTTAAGGCTTGATGTTTAAGGAAAGTCTTTGCTCACTGCGATGTTTATCTTTAGTACATGATGACTTTACATCTGTATTGTCAAGCATAAAGAGAAAAATGATCTGTACAATGAGCAACTTGAATTGTACTCATGTTTTCATTACATATGATGGCAAGCAAACAAATTAATTAAACTTAGAACTCACAAGTTCTACCTTATTTTGTATTCCAGCCATTTTGG